CATAGTCCTCCGGGACCTTCTCCCATAACTACTCCCTCAGCCATCGGCTTGACAAGGAGTCGCTCCGCGTGCAGCTTGACGGCCTCGGGGATAATCGTCTTCTCGTACAATTTCTTCTTTTCTTCCGACAGTACGTGTTCAGTTACGCAAGTTCTATTGTGCCCCAAGTAGTCTGGGCACCGATCCCCCCGCTTTTCGCAGTACCTCCCACTCCCCGGAATAACATTCTTCAGATCCTCCGTGAACACTTTGATGCGGATGGGCTTCCAGTCACTGTTGTCCTCTTTTGTGGCGACGGTGTACGTCTGCATCGCGCCCTGCGCCCTGCGCGGCACCTCACGCACCACCGCAGTCTCCGACGGCCCGCCGCTCCTCCGCACCATTTCGTCGAACGCAAAGCCCGGCGCAGCGGCGAGGCACCCATCAGCGCAACACATCGCCGCCGCCACCAGCAGCAGCAGCAGCGATGGAAGAAACGGCGTGGGCAGGCTTTACTGACGCATGACCTGAAAAAAGTATATTTACTGCTACGGTTTGAGCAGCAGCAGCAGTTGCAGCAAAAGCTCAGTCATCTACAAGGAAGATAAACAACGGAATAGGCAAGAATATAAGAGGTACAGATACAAGAACAAATGACGCAAGCTACCATTTTCTGAACCTTGGGCTGCACTGCAGCCCAAGGTTGTGCAGCGCATGGGTGGCGAGAGTCGTCAGTACCGCCAGGGGGAGTTGGGAAGGGATGTGAGGGTCTGAGAAGGAGCACGTGTGCGTCATCCCGTCTGGCACGCAGCCACAGAGACAAAACCGGATGCACCTCATAAGGGGCAGGCAAACGAAAATAAGACGCGGTGAGCACAAAGCAGTGAGGGGAAAGAGGTGGAGTTCGGTACACGCGCATTCCTCGGTGGTGGTGCGCGGCGACTGCTGAGTGTCGGTCTCCCTCTCTTTTTTCCTTCTCACCTCCCACAAGTCTGCTGCGACGACGCAGGGCTCGCGCTTCAGTAGGCAGGTGGGCTACGACGCAAGAGCTGCGTATCCCCATCATTCACAAAGCAACGGCTCTGTGCCGGTCGCTTGGGGATGTACTTTGAGTGAAACAGCCCCCGCTGCTGCCTGCGGGCTACCTGCACGGCGGAGAGTCCCGTTTTTCGTAGCGTGGCTGACTGAAAACTGCGGTCAGACTCAAACTCGGCGCGAACAATGCCAAACACAACGAACAGGAAAAGAATCGCCAGGTTGGGGAGAACCATCGTCCATGTGCTGCCAATCGAGGAGAGAATGTTCTGAATGGCCGGGCGTAAATGTGTGCAGTTGCCTTTGCTTGAGTCGTACTTATTGTCGCAGGTGGAACACAGTGGCGGGCCCCAATACCCCCTGACGGGATCTTTGAAGCAGTTGCAAGGCGAGTGGTTCGACGAATTTCCAGGCCTGCGGCAGCAGCCGTGTCCATTGCATGTAGTTAGTGGATCACATACAGGGTGTTTGCCGCTGTACTCTCGCTTGCACGAATCGCCTTCACCAACGATGGAGTAGGTGCGCCCCTCACAGGTGGTGCAGTTGAAGCTGAGCCCATGAGCATCCTCGTGGCAGACGAGGTCGTCCACGCACAACACCTCCCACGGCTCGATGCTGCTGCAGTTGGTCGGGCACAGTGCCGTGTGCGGAAAGCAGTAGCCGCCTTTAGGGTCGCCAGGGTCAAAGGAACCCCCCCACGTACAGAGGCCTTTGGTAATGGTCACAAGAATGTTAGAGGCATCGTTGCACGTGCAATCAATGTAAGATTCCCCACAATCGCGGGAAGAAACATTGCCGCCCCGTCCAAACACCTGTGAGCACCACTCTGTGGCGAAACTGCAGTCTGTGGGGCATTTGATACTCAAATGAGACGTCCCACTCACCCACCCAGGAGCGAGGAGCACGACAATGAAGAACACGCAAAGCTGCAGAAGTGTCATTGCATCACCTTTCCTTTTTAGAGTCACTGTACTTTCACTTTGCGTAGTGTGAGTAAAACAGCTGACAGGGGTAGAAGTTCGTTCCTAATATGGAAGGACTGCGGAGGTGAATTGTGTGTGTGTGTGTGTGTGTGTGTGTGTGTGTGTGTGTGTGTGT